TACCATTTTCTGTTTCAAACACTACCATGTTTAACTGTGAAAAACCTCCTCACCCAAAACTTGCACAGAACTGCAGGCAGCCAAGTAAATAGTTGGCCCATAAAAAGCCTTCCATTTTTCTTAGTTCAGTTCAACAACAAAAACAATACTGCAGGTAATTTATGGCCCTCCTTACCTCTACAATCCTTGAAAAACAGGAGGATTAACTCGCTGAGAGCGTTGTGAAATCTCACATAATGTATCTAAAGGCCAGATACCATCTTTCCACGCACATTTCCATAGGTAAAATTGTTGAGCAGCGTGCCAAGCATGAGATCCTGAAGGACCTGACACACCAAAGGGAGCAGGGCAGGTGAGCAGCAGGAAAAGGGACAAAGCCATGGTGAAAACTCCCAGAAAAGGGTGAAATCACGAGAGTTGTGGTTATTTTACCGAGCCTGTGATGTCAGAGGTAACACAATTAAGACAAATCATTGAGCTTTTAAATTCATGATCCACCCTAACTTCAACATTTTTTTGGAGGACAAGTGTTTACAGCTTGGCTATAGTACGTGGCTGTGTCTCAATCCAGAGGATTTTTATTTCCAGTAAAAACAAGATGTATAGACAATTATTAACTGTATTTTTAGTACCACCAGAAGGTTCAGGAGATTGTAAACCTGATTTTACTTACTATAAAATACAATAATGAACATTGGTACAGAGAGGTTTGGGAAGAGTCCCAGATGTTGGCTGGAAGAGGAACTGGGGAGCCGCTTTCTTCTTATGTCAGAGTAAAACTTATTAAATATCCAACTGTTAATGTCAGAATTGAACTTTTTATTAAATACCCAGCTATTTCTACACATCACCAGTGACTGCAGGGCTTCCAATGAGGATGGACTGCTGGCTTTTAAAGCCACAATTTCACTTTCGCTTGATGCAGAGTAATAAAAAAATGAAAATGCTGAGTGGAGCCCATTCACAAGGAGCCTGGTGAAGGCCAGATATGGGTGGATTTGACTTTTCTGACCTCACTCTTAAGAAAAGTGGAGCCATCCTAAAGGCCTCAACAAATACAGAAGGGGAGGAAACCACTCCCACTCAGCAGCCTGGATTTTAATCTCTTGCCTGGCAGAGTGACACGCAGGGAGAGGGGTTCAGTGATGTTGGGAGACTTCACTTTCAGAACCAGCAAATTACAAAGTGAGGTGCCCGTGGGGAGAGTCATGACATTGAGAAGCTGCAGCTCCGAGGCGTTTTTGGATCAATGTACAGAGTGCTGCTCGTGGGGCTTAATGAAACAATTACAGCCCTCCTGCTGATTGCCTTTGTTTTGTCCCACAATCAATAGATTGCCCACTGTAAATGTCAGCGTGCTCCTGCTCTGCCAGGTCACTCTGCAAGGCACTGCACAGCACTTGGCTAAACGTGCTCCTGAGCTCCTGTCACTGATAAATGTCTCCCTTCCTAAGAGGTCTAAAGAACTGGAAGATGCTCCTATGTGCAGAAGAAAAACTGAGGGCACAACAACAAAAAGGAAGCACAAAGGGAGTGTGGATGGAGAAGCAGCTGTCTACAAGCATCAGAATCTTCAGGCATACAAAGTGCATTCCTCTCTGCATATGGGAGGTGTATTTTGACAACTTCACTCCTTTGGACTGACTGGGTTTTTTTAGGAGTTCCATCTTTCCAAGAATGTCCATTTTTAATTTTAGCAAATCTCATTTTTCTATTCAGTTGTTCTGCTTTTCCTCCACAGTGTAAACACTATTTTTATTTTACAATACAAGGCAATAAAAGAAAAAGATAGACTTAATGTATTAAAGTCTGACCAAAAGAAGATGCATTCTACTGCTCTGGGTTCCTGGAATATCTCCATCCCATTAAACTGGATGAACACAGGATGAAAACTTCCTGAACACAGGAGGTTTGAGGGGATCACCTGGGTTGATTTGAGGTGAGGGTTGTCAGGAATGATCCAAGGCCAGGCTGGATGGGGCTCTGAGCAGCCTGGTCTCATGGCAGATGTCCCTGCCCAGGAAAAGCAGTTTTTCACTCCCTTTACCACTGCCAGCTCAGGAAGGAGAATGTTCAGCACATCTGGGATTTTATGGACTGCAAGAATTTCAGGGATGAGGACAATCTCAGTTTGAGGACACACAGAGCAGCTGCTGCAGCCAGGCCTCCTCCAGGTTTCTGGGCACTACAATAACATATTTGTATGAAAAATAATAATTAATTTAAGTTTGGGAACCTTGCTTTTTCAGCTGATGTGTCTTTGCTTTCACCTTGAGTAACAGAGACAAATATAGTCACAAAACAAATGGGTTGCAGTGCCCTTGGCAATGAGGTGTTGCAGTCTCCTGACCTCTGATTTCACTACTAGAAACCTTATTTTGACATCTTTTAACTCCACGCAGAGGTGAGAAGGAAATCTTGGTATCAAAATAAGGTTAAGAATGAAAGAGGAATATGGACAGAGCAGAAAAATAATGCACATGAGACATTGTGAATGCTCCAGCTGCACATGGTTGGGTTGGAGCATGGAAAGGAGCAGCACCAAAAGCATTTGGGGACAGGTAAATCTGCAAGCTGACCCCTCTGTAATTGTCCTATGTGTCTTGATTTCAGTAATTTACTGGTAGTATAACATATCTAGTAAATTCACTGTTATAAAATTGAGATTATTTGTCTTGAAACAGCTTTTAATCCTGATTTTTAACAAATTTATGCTTCACTCAACTAAAACACCACTGAACTTTGACAACCCTATTTTTTTTTCCTGATAGACCCAAATTAAAAGAAGAGTAAAAAATTAAACTCAGAGTGAGATGTTAATGGAAGAGACTCAGAAAATCTGGATACTCAGACAAGAAATAACTTTAATGCTGCAATGACCTGCACAGGCTGGAAATGCCATCTGGTGGTTGCAGGTTCAGAGCAGTTAAGGAGAGAAAAATTCTGTTTGCTGGGACAGTGAGGGTTGGATCTCCACCATATTTTACTGAAGTGTGATAAATAAAGAAGGATCTGTGTTAAACAGAAAAATCAGAATAGTGATCATAATTTTGAAAAATTTATGAAAAATTTGAAAAATTTTAACATTTGTCAATGTAAAAACTGAAATAATTATTGCTTCGATTACTGGAGCAGCTGGCACTAGGGCAAGCACTAAAAATGTGGATCAGTGGGACAATATTTAAGAAAGCTCAATAAATTATCTTAAAACCACAAATTTTGGAAAGGTAATTGGGGTTTGTTAGTTTAAAGAACAGCAGGTTGAGTTGGCAACAGTCCCCAGGAAGGTGTGGTGGTGCTGCAAAGAGGAACCTCAGAGGTGGCCCTGCACAGGCAGCACCAACCAAAGCAGTCACTGCACCCTAAAGGATGAAAATCAGATAGAGGATATTAAAACTTTCAGTATTTCAGTATTTGCTGCACAGAATCAGTCCCAGGAGCTTTGTTAGAGATGAATGCACACAGTGAGGGATCCTCTCGGGGTGGTGGATGTGTCCTTGCTCTGCCCCAGCCTGGAGGAGACAGGGGAGAAGCAACAAACATTTCTTCAAATTCCCATCCAGCCTCCATTTCCCTGCTCCTGTGCAGACATGGAGTGAGAATTCCAACAGAATTCATGTGATTTCAGCCCTTAACTCAAGCTTGCTGCCACAAATGCAGTGCACTGTCCTTCACTCATTCTCCTGTTCCACAATGCCCCATTGATTCCTCCTGGACAATGACAATCAGATGTCACAGACAAAGGGAAATGAATGAAATCTGACACATTTATTTAAGCCTGCAGCGGACTAAATTATAAATAAATCCTGCTTTTTCTGCAGCACAAAGGTTGCAGACGGACTGTCCCTGTGGACTCTGCTCTCTCCTCACTGCTTAACAGACTTTCCAACACTTTCTTTTGTCCTGATAGCAATCTCTCAGCAGGACTTTTGGCAGACACATGCATTATGTGTCAAAACTGAAGTGCAAATAACTGATGGGAAGTACAAAAATCTGATGGGAATAGTTGTAATAAGGAAATGAATAAACATCAAAACAGTAAAATACAACCAGAAAGAATACAGCCAGAAAGCTTCTGAGCTGCTACTTGTCTGAGATCAGCAGTAAGGGCATTTTCAAAGATTGTTCTGTATTAATATAAAGAGCATTAATATATGCTGAACTCAGGCTTACATGTTAATTTAATTAATTTTCATTCTTATTTTAATGCTGTTAGAAAACAAAGCTCTCACGAGATGAGCTTTAAATGCACTATAAAATGCATATAGTAGATTAATTTCCAAAACACTTTTATTTAGAAACCCACTGGCCACAATTAGCTACATTTAGGAGGAGTTACTATTGTACATCTGCTCCTAACATCCATCACATTGACTAACTTAAAAAAACCCAAATCATTTGGAAAATGCAGAAGTAATTCAGCATTTTATACTCAGTGTGACTGAAGGTGCAGCTCTATAAATATATTGGCAGAAGATGTGGCTACAATGCTTTGGGAAATGTTGGTGATTCCCTGAAAAGTGATGATTTCTGCCCTGAAAATTGCCTCCACCCTTCCAAGTGCAGAGACATTAAGGCTTGAGTGGAGAGTCTGATCAGGACAGCACATAATCATGTCTGGAGGATTATCTGGGACAGTCAGGATGAGCAGGAATTCAGAAACATGTGGCTGACCAGGCTGGAGCTTCAGAGCGATCACCTGGCAAAGAAATTCACAGAATCTCAAAAAGATTGAGGGATGGAGACTCCACAGGAGCGATGGAACAGAAAAAGTCCCACCAACATTTCAAGCCATGCTGGTGCTGGGCTGTGAGAAAAGTCTCCTCCAGGAATCCAGAATTAGCTGGAATTCTGCCTCATTCAGTCACAAAATGATGCGATGTTTAGATTATCTTTATGCACACAACCCCAATTTCTGTGTTGCTGGTTTGGCTCATTAATTCAGACAAGTTTTTGTTAAACCAAGCTGAACTCAAATAAATAGCTAGTCCTGTCTAGTCTCCATTTGCAAAAAGTCTCTTTATTTTATTTTATTCTACTCAGAAAAGAAGTATCAATTATATTTCATGCAATCACTTCATTAATCTGGCTGGCTGGAACTAAAACTTCATTCCAAAACAGGTCATGTATTTTGGACATGATTTTAAACTTGCAAGTTCTCTCTTCTAAAGGCTGCTACCCTTTGATGGATTCTTTGATTTTGCTGTTCACTGGACACTTGGTTGATCTCCAGAATAATGAAATTCCTACAAACTAATGCAGAAATCACATTCAGAGCTATTATTTCTTATAATAATTCACAGAGACTGGAAATAACTTTATTTTCTACACTTGCAAGTCAAACAGGCCTGCTAAATAGCAATTACAAACTCAACATGCAGGTTCTTGAATTTACTGACACGCGTTGATGCTGGACATGTGTAAGCTTCCCATTTCTTTCCAACCAAAACAAAAAATTGGCATTTTTTAGCACTGGTCACAACTCTGCATTTTCTTACCACCATTTTATGCTCATTTATCAACAGATGACAGAACAAGGCAACCTTACATTAGAGATGGACTCTCACAAACCAGCTACACACAAAAAAAACTTTTATAAAATGGTTTGTGCTAAGTTAAATATCTCTAAATTCAGTAATTGTCAATTACAATATATTAAATAATATTGTAATAATGGTGAATTTTCAGCTCCACTGAAGTCACAGAAAAAATTTACAGAACTTCATCCTCAGCCTCTGTCTCCCTTCCAAAAACAGGGATAGAGGCATCAGTCCTCAAAAATACTGCCCCATTTTCCTTCTAAAATAACACCAAAGTGAGTCAGAGCTCAGCAAACCACAGGAGATGAACTCAGTTTGGAGTTATCTCAGTGTTGCCTGGTTTTACTTTTTAATATAAATCCATATTTGAGTTGAGCAGGAGCCAGGAGCCCAGCCAGCCATGGTGCTGCAGTCCCAGGGGAGGGCAGAAAGTGAAAGCACCACTTCAGACTCACAGGAAATGGTCATTTACCCCCAGTAAAGGTCCTTAAGGACAACCTCAAGCTGTGCTCAGTTTTTAGGTTTGTACTTCTCTCCCTTTCCTTTAACTGCAGTCCTTAGAAGCTCCCCAAGAGAAACAGAGCATCAGATAAAAGTCTAATCCAAGGCATATCAGCAACAAATACGGGCACAAAGAGAGGGAGCTCTCCAGGAACTCTCAGTGGGGACATTAAGTCTGCTCCCTTGAAACTGAACAGAAACTTCAACTTCTCCAGGAGCTCAGCGAGGCCGTCATTAAATGGCTTTGATAACCTTTAAGATTTTGCAATTCATAGTGAAATTCCTCAGTGCCTCTTAACTGATTTTGTATCACATAAAAAGGTTTTCTCATTTATTTTGGTTGCAAGCCATATGGGCATCACCACTTTTCAGCACACTGTGTAGGCAGAAAACATTATGCTGTTTGACAGAGTGGTAACAGTATTTTCTCCACAGAAAGGAATTCTTCATAATAACCTTCATGAGGATTATTTAGTGGTTCTCCTCATGGCAGGAGGCTGAGGTAAGGCATGGACAAAGCAGAAGGTACAGTGCAAAGAAACCTCAGCACCAGGCCACAGATAAACACACACCAGATAGGATGCTGACGTGAATGACCACTCCTGCTGCAGACTGGGAGCAGATCAATACTGCACAGCCCAATTAATGAAACATAAAATGACTTTTTAAAGTTGCTATTGAAGCTGTACTATCAATAATATTGCAATATAGACTAATTTCATATCAAACAGATATGAAAAACAAAGTTAAACCTGCATTGCACTTGATTCCCCAAGTTCTTATGTCTGCTCCACATAAAAATTAATGGTTAATGACAGTGGCCAAGTGTTTAAAATTAAATCAATGAATCCACGAACGACAGGAGATGCAACCCTCAGAGGGTAAAAATGAATTTGTTTCCTTTCTGGGGGAAAACCACACCACATAACCTTGAATAAGCATCTTTGTTCAAAGGCTAACAGGAAACTCTGAGTTGATTCAAGGTAAATACCAGCCCCTGTTATCCAAGAAGATAAGAAGCACAAATGCATTGGTAATGTTACAATGTTGTAATACATTACTGAATTATACAACAGTGTTATTTCCCCAAATTCCTACAACTTATATGACTTAATGGGGACACAGACAACGCTCATATATGAGATAATAAAGTGCTTTCATAAAGGATCACAACTTCCTGTGTTTCCAACAGAAGTATTTACTAAAATGTTATTAAAGATGTTAACCCATGAGCTGCTGCACCAGAAACAAAACAGTCAGTAAAAAAGCTGGAATATGGTATTTAAGTCTTCCTGTACAATTCTGCAGAAAAAAAAAAAAAAGCACCTGCAACAAAACCCAGCAGTGGTACCTTATGTCTTTTTTTTTTGTTAGCATAGTTCTGAAATGTGCACTGAGAGCTGCAGGATAAACCTCCCGGGCTCTATTTCACATTAGCCATGTGCATTGAAATACCCACTCTTGCTAGACAAAGGATAAGGCTTATACCAAAAACCACTGTGCCACTTGGCTGCATATCTTTGGTATATTTATAGTGCAACTGTTCTGCTTCTTCTCTGAAGGGAAAAGCTTTCCAAAGCACTGCATCCCCTGCCACTGAGAACCTACCACGAACTCCTACACTCACTGGGACCTCTGACACTGACTTACTGCTTTAAACAAATGAAGAATGTGCAGCGAAAATAATTCCTTCCTGTTTTTTAAACATACTGCTGAAATAAAATGGTATCATGCTGGAAAGTAATAGCACGTTTCAGTCCTCTTGCAAGATTTTAGGAGCATACAAATGCGAGCACAAATTTCACAGCAATTTTTAACAACAGATATCCAAGGTGCTATTTGAAAACATCTGTAACTTAATGATTCTTAATCTAGATTTAGTCAACCTTCATTTCTACAAAAAAAAAAAAAAAACAACACCTGTTTTTCATTTTGCTTAGATACTTAGAATGATTCATAATGCATAGAAAGGCTAGAACTACTTAATTAAAATACACTGCAAGCGTGTTTTTCTAAACTTATATTGCTAAAGCCTTGCTGTACTGTAAGATTTATTGGAGTTGGCCTCTACAGTACCATGTATTGACACAAGCCTGGCTATATACCTGTGTTCCAGCCTGTCTGAGTGGGCACACCAGCACACGACTACGGTACAGATCACCCCGTGGCAGTGCAATGAAATGTTGGAACCATTGAAATGTCATCTCCTGGGCTTTCAGCTCCTGAACAGCAGCATTCTCTCTGAACAGGTCTGTCCCACCAGGCTTGCATATTGCTGGACACTGGCCTCGTCACTGGGCCCCTTCCTCCTCTTCTTGTACACGCTGTAAGGCATCACGGTTCTCTTGTGGAGCACTCTCACCCTGCCCAGCTCCTTCAGGCGACCTTCATCGACTGCAGAGGCAACCAGAGAACACAGAAAAGTCATTTACAGTGTCCACAGCACCTTAATTTATGCCCCTAGCTTCAATGTGCATAATGAGAAGTGCATGAAGTAAGAAAAGTCATCTGCAGATGGAAGCTGAGCTGTGCTGCAGAGCGTTCCTGGATCGTGGCTGGCCCCAAACCCAGGCTGCAAAGGAACCGTGTCTGCAGTGTGTGGAGAGGTAAACCCTGCATCACACTTTCAAATGATGGATGGCATTTCTGAGAACACCTCTACTGCTGTATGTAAAATTGACATTCATTTAGAGCTCCTGGAGCCAGAAGTCAAACTCTATCTGGGGAAAACTCAAACAGAACTGACCAGGGGAGACTTGTCATTACAGAGCCCCTTGCAAAACCCACCACACCAGCTGGGACAAGGGTACTAAAACCAGCAAGAAGCCTCAGGTTGCTTCCTTAGGTAAGCATCAGGCAACAAAACACCTTCCCAGGTGAAACTCCCTGGCCCTCCAGCCCCAGTCTGCTTTTCCCTCAGTTATTTGGTTGTTTCATTCTAGGGGTTACATGTCCTTACTTTAGTCTGATCCCTGAGCTCTGTAGATCAACAGGGTGAGCAGTGCAAGCACTCCCAGGGTGGGTACAACATACAACACAATTCCTCTTCAAAGATACACACACCACAATTAAATCTTATTTCCTTCACATACAGACCCCTTGTGGCTTAATTTATCCAGAATCATACACATAAGAGTGTGGCTGACCAAGTTAAAACTTCCTTATTTTTATGAATCCCACTGATGCTCCTACTGCTCAACAATAATGTTATATAGCTGCTGTGTGTCAGAAAAATTTGCACTACAGAGCTAGGAAACTCTTTAAAGAAACTCAGAGAACTGCCACACATCTGAGGCCACTGCTGGATAAATTAGTAAAATTATTACAATAGTGGGAAAAGAAATATTGGACTTCTCGGAACTTTAGGTTCACAAAGTCAACGAAGAAGAGTCAACCTAGAATTTGAAACATGAATTTGACAATAGAACCATATAAATTCCAGTAATAATAGAGATGCTTACTGGAATGTCAGTATTTTGGGACATGAACTATGCAAAGTCTTCCTTTTGGACGTTCTTTCTGTTTTTAATTAATGCTTCTTCATGTTTTAAAGGAGGCCATGAAACTCTCTTCTGTGCAAGACATTCTGAAGAACCTATTCCTGTTCATCCACAGAAATGGTCTATAAACTTTTTTCCTGCAGATTGCCTGAATTTAGTATGTGAAACTTAATGAAGGCTGCTTTACCAAGTTTGAAATGACTTCATTACTTTTATCTGTGTTTTGATTCCTGACATGAAAGCACAATGTGTTTCTTAAGACTTAACTGGGAAAACATGGTTTGAAGGAAGAAAATCTGAGTAGTAGTTGCTAAGATTGTGTTCCCCACTAATTATTGTTGGCAATTGCTTTAGATAAACACCAAGTCAAAAACACTTTATGGCTTTCTCCCTCTCTTTGAAATCCATCAGGTTTTTGATGTGTGGCCAACACCTCCCTGATATCCCAATAAGTTGGTTTTACCACCAGCCCTTCTGCCTCTTCTGTTACATCCTCCTCCTTGCTGAGAGTTCACCAAGGAAAAAATCTGCAAGTTTAGCTTCTGGAGGTGACACAAGTGTAAAGTTATTTTAACTTCTTAAATTGGAAAGTTTCTATTTACTGCACCTCTAGACTGACTCCCATCTGTGCCCTGGGATGGATTCAGGCCAAGCTGAGCCCTCCCAGCTCTGTGCCAAAAGCACTTTAGAGCTGGTCCCTACTCACTGTTTGATACTCACTGATTTCAAATATTCCCAAAGCTTGATACTCTGGGTGAGTTCATCTTCTGGCTTGCAGTGCTGCTGGCCACAGATTTGATTTCTTTGAGGGACTAAAGCTACTGTAGCTTGGTTTCACTCAGCCTTCCTGGCTCAGCTGAACTCTGCTCTTGCTGCTCAGCATTCGTGCCCTTCCTCCACTTTTACTCCTTGCAATGAAAAATAACATTCCAAATTTCTACAATGATTACCTGTTCTTCCACTGACTCCCCTCAAAATCAAAGCTTTAATAACAAAATAACCTTCTGTAAAAGTACTTAAATGTATGTAACTTAAACTCCATCTGTAAAAGAAACATTATACTGAGATATTAAGTAAAATAATGTCAGGTACATAGTTAAGCTTTTAGAGATGGCAAGTAGGAACTTTTGTCACCATCATAACAAATCTCAAAGTCAGAACTCATCCACCTTTCAGCTGCTGCTGGTCTGGAAGCAACATCAAGGGAATTCAGGAAACTATTCCCTTTAAACACAATCTAATTATAGCAGAATAAATTTAAAATAATTTAATGGAAAATAAAAGCAGATTGGGCTCCGGCACACTTTAACAAAGAAGTTACTCTCCCAATAAGAAAAATTAAATATCTGCTCCTGCTGAGTGGCACATGGTAAAATTTGCTTTCAATTCAAGATGATGCCAATTGAATTCAAACAGGCCTTCCCTGTGTGGCTGATGCTGGGATACAGCAGCAATCACAATTCAAAACAAGACCAAATGCTTTATTACAAAAAGTTCCTTGCTGAAAATAAGAAAAAAACCCATCCTTCTATTTCCAAGCTTTAGTGAAGAAATTGTATTTAGTAACTTACATTTCTGGGAAGACCCTGACTGATCAGATAGTGGAACAGTATTAGGGCAATTTTAGTAATTTCTGTAATCACTGAATACAGTACTGTTACCACTAAAAAGTTTTTTCAAAGTGCTTTTTTTTTTTCCTCCTTACACTCTGTCATTTTTCACCTCCTGAGCTGTTGATTTATTACAGTCTACAGGAGAGACAGTGTCATTTGACACAAAACACATACAAGGTTTCATCCCTTCATTCAGTTACATCTATCAGTATAGTCTGGATGCTAGATACACAAAATACAGAGCAATCAATTATGTAGATTGAAAGTTCCTGTAATTTTAGGGAACTGGGCAACTGCAGCTGCCAATTGAAAATAGAAATATTACCCTGTAAGTCTCAGAGCTAAAAATATGGGTGAATTCTTATTGAATAAATTACCTGTCACTTCTTTCTTTTTCTCCCCTATACTCCTAAAGCAGTAAATTATTTATGCTGCAGTTGTCTATTGAAATTTGAACATAGGAGAGATTTCACTTCTAATTCAACCTTGCCGCTGTGACCCCATAAAGACTGCACAGAGGTGTTAAAATGTTCTGTTCCCAGCCCCATACCACTGTTAAATGGAATCCACACATGGAGGATTTCCTTTCTGAAAACACAGAGGGTATCAGACACGGTGCTAAGTGCCAGCAGAAAACAAAGCAAGGAGCAGGAGGGACCCAAAGCCCCTCGTGCAGTGGGGTGTCTTGGCAGGCTCTGGTCTGAGCTCTGACCCAGCTCACTCATCCACCCTCACCCAAAGGGCAGCCTCAGGCTGCACTCCCCAAAAAAAAGGCTCCCACACCCCAGGGATGAGGAGGAACGTGAGGAGCAGGAAGCCTGAGCAACTCCTGGACAGTCCAGTCCTTATTTCTTTGCACAACCCAGATCAGCTTCCCCCTAAAACTACAAGCTCCCTCCCCAGCCAAAACATCATTTTCTAATGTTGGTAAGCATTCCTGCTGAAATAGCAGCACGAAATAAGGAGGAGTGATTTCACCTTTTTTATTCACAGCAATAGAAAGCTGGACAGCAGTGTGCTTTTCAAAGAAATCCAGAATTTCATGGTCTTTTTCTAACAGCTCAGGGGTGGATTAGCATTTTTCTAACGTTATTTGGGGAAGCCCACATCCAAATATTTTTATTCTTCACATGCATTAAGCTTTATTATTACTCCCTAATATAAGCTGAAGTGAAAACCAGCTCCATCTGGTCAGAAAGCTGGGTAAGCACGTGCAAAGCTGGACAAGTGAGGCTTGGAGTGCAGAGTGAGCTCTGCAAGAGCCTGAGAGCCAACACCACGCTGAAAAAAGGGTGATGGCTCAAAGTTTCTGCAGAAAACGATTACTAAATCAGCTTTTTGGTGGTGGCTGAGTTGGGCCAAGCTGGTTTTGATCAACAGTGGTGTGGAAGGGCAGCCTGAGCTGCAGCATCCTGGGCTGCTCCTCTTTAGAGCCATGGCACCTCTTCCCTCCTCCCCTTGGACAGACTCCTCACACAAATGGCATTTTTTAATTTCTCAGGGGTATAATCTAGAGATGGAAGCAGTCTAACTTTCCTTTAAAGTGCTTTTTTCCACTTACAGGAAAAGAAGTCAGGAAATAATTAAAAGTAAAGTGACAAATGTATTGGCTTTCCTATTTTCTAAATAGGAGAAAGGACAACTGCCAATTTCCAAAACAACCCACATTACTCACAGGAAAATATTTCCTATACTTTCTGTACAGAATGGACTCAGAATTAGCAAGAAGACTAACTGAGGACTGACATTTCTAACTTGCAAAAATAAATGTGGCACTCCTGCTAAACTCTGAAATTATTCTGTTTCTGACCATAAGTTTAATTTTCTTTAAATGCTCCTTCAACTCCCTGGAATAATGAAACTATTTGGCCATCATCATTTTGTAATTCTGCATCCATACTGCACAGAAAACCTGGATTTTTTTCCCCCACTACAGCAGGATAAAACAGGGAAAGAAAGAAAGGAAAAAGGCAAAGGACCAACCTAATTCAAAAATGAAAATATTTAAATCTGTGTCATTAACTGAAACCTGTGATTCACTTTAAAAGTATACAATGAAGGAAACTCACACTATTTTAAATTTCCATTTTACTTAAAAATGGAATCTCAAAAGAATTATTTTACCTCTAAGCATTAAATCCACAGAACAAAAAGTCTGAAGATAAACACTTGACAACTGCTGCACTTCCAGCCCAGAGATGTTCTGGGGTTTTAATTTTGTTTCATGTTGCTTGTGGTTTTTAATTTTCAGTTTTGAAGCACTTAGGATTTGCATTGTTTT